GTGTGTGTGTGTGTGTGTGTGTGTGTGTGTGTGTGTGTGTGTGTGTGTGTGTGTGTGTGTGTGTGTGTGTGTCTGTGTGGCTCCACCCCCATAACTCACTTCTCCCTCGCGTTGCCCCCTTCCTAGACGCCACTCTCATAGCGTGAAGGAGACGAGAGCTTTCGGTGACGTTATATGTGCGTGTACGTAAAAAAACAACACACACACACACGAAAGTGTTTTACTCATCGTTTTCTTGTCGTTGTCTTTTTTTCCGTTTTTTTTTGTCATTTTCTTTTGCTTTTGATCGCTTTCCCCGCCGTCGCCCACCCCCACCCCTCCTCACTTCTTCTGGCCGGCCGTGTGTCGTCGTTTCTCGTACGCATCCACGAGTGCATCTACCCTCTCATCCAGCGGCATGCTCTTCACATCATGCTTTCGCGCCTCAATCGCCTCTGTGCTGTACGGCATCAGCTCGTACTTCATCTGCTGCAACGCATCCACCTCCCGGGCGTACTCAGAGATGCTGAACCCGTACTGCTCATCCATCTTCCGCGTCTCATCAATCGAGGTGTTGATGACCCGCACGACAGAGGCCAAATTGTACGAATTGTGAACTCCTAGCATGGCCTTGCCGCCAAAGTAGCCGCCCGCCAGCGATATCCAACTTGCGTAGTTGCGAAAAAAGGGCACGCGACCCCCAACAGAAAGGCAAGCCGCCATAGTTGTTACCATGGCCCCGCCCATGTAGCCGTACGTCCAGTAATTGCTGCCCGCCACGCTTTGGTACTTGTCTATTGCTTTTCGCACTAGACTGCGGTTGTTTTCAATAAACACATTCGCCGTCACTAAAGCCTGCTCATGTTTTTCCTCCGGCGTTTGTTGCGATTGTGGCTTCTGAAGCGTGAATTGATTGGTCCACATATTGGGCGTCTTTCACCGAATAAAGGTGTCTCTTCTTGCCACTGTATCCCTTCCGCACGTCTGTGTACGGGAAGTAATGCGCCCCCCGGAGAATTCACACTGTCCTTCCCTCAGTAGAACCCAAAAGCAAAAACAAAAACCAAAACAAAAAGAGGGAAACCCAGTCCGTGAGATAACCGAGGTAACGAAAACAATAATAAAAAAGTGTGCCTCCGCACATATTCTATGCACGGACGCTTGTAGCCCAGTTTGTATCAACAGAATTTGTGCGTGCGTAAATGTGAACGCGCAACGACTGCTTGTGCGGCCACAAGAATCACGCCGCCTTCAACGTCGCTTCCCGTTGCTTCCACGGGAGGCGACGGTACGGCACTTGTGGGTGGTCAGGCGTGTAAACCCCAAGACCGCGCCAGTCATGGTGCAACGCCCCACGACTGAATCCAGGCGCCAGGTGCCGTGCAGTCGTGTGGTACTTGTCAAACATTGCCTTATCACGACGGTAGACAAATCGGGCCCGTATCGGATTATAGTGGTACAAGGTGCACTTGCGGTCACGCAACGCCGTTCGTAGCTTTACGTTCCGCGTCACAAGTTTTAACTCCTTGCTGTGAAGTGCACTCAGCAGCGGTGCATCCTTGTCGTGCAACGAGCGCGACGAGGTGAGGAGGTTGTGTCTGCCCTTGAGGAATCGGTAGGGCGTGCGTGCGGTGCAGTCGCTGTGCATCAGCGTGTGCACCTTCACCAGCGGCATCTCCCTGGCAAAAAAGGCGGCGATGGTCCAGAGGATGAGGTCCTCGTCGCAGTAGGTCCCCGCATCGTGGAGACGAAGTTCCTCGCTAAATGGCAACAGCACCACTCGGCCCTTTTCAACCTCGTAGGCGAGGATCTCAAGCGCCCGTTCGCAAGCCTCCCGCTCCCTCGGCTTGGCACTTGTGGCAGCCTTCACCGAGAGCTCACGGAGACAACTCAAAGAGACAATCAGGCTGTCTTTCCCGCTCGGAAGCCGCCGCACGGCGGAAACAAGCTGATCTGTTGAGCTTGCCATCAGTGAAGAGTGCAACAAGAAGACAGAGTCCACAGTGTTGAGGTATTCCAGCTGCGACAGCATTGTCATCAAGGGACGCGCAAGGCGACGGGTGGGGTGGGGCGAGACATAACCGGGCATGGAAGCCGCGGAGACCGCCGCGTGCGCGTCGACGGAGTGCAGCTTGGCGGCGTTGGCGGCGAACAACTGTGCCTGCACGTCACGAATTGAGCGGGGAATGCGGGCAGAGATGCTCGGCTGCTCCATGCGTAGGCGGTCCGCGACCAGAGCAAAGTGCCGGAAGGAGCGCAAGATATGGTAGTCAAAATGGTTTCTCATGGCAAACTCCTGGGCGCGCTCCTTATCGGTCATTGAAAGTAACGCCTCCGAGCCGCTTTCAAGCAGCGCCAAAAGCGTGGCAGTGTCGTGATTTGCACTGGCTGCGTCAATCGCCGTCTGCAGCAAGTCAAACGTCTTTGCATTTAACGCCGTCGCCTTCCCGCGCGAAAGGGCCGCAAAGAAGTTAGGTCCTCGCGGACAACTACTGTCAGCCAAGAGAAGTTGCAACAACTCCTCACTGCTCGCATCCGCCATAACGGAGGTCAGATACATCCGCTCCATCGTCGCCATGTCCTGCATCGTCAGCGCCCTCTTCGCATGACTCCGCACACGCCGCAAAAAGCAGTCCATAATGGATTTAAAAACGCCACCAATAGGCGTTCCGCTTGGCATCACCGCCGAAAAGCCGTTTAGCAGGTCCACAAGCTCTTCGTCTGTGCATAACTCCAGCAGGTGAGGGACGCCATCGTGCTCGTCGCGGCGTACTAGGTTAACCATGGCGTCAAAAACTGCCTCACCGGTTCCCCAAAACGCCGTCGTCTGGTTCGTCCCGCGCGGGTGCTTGTAGTCAGCACGGTTCGATGGTGCGTGGACCGACGACGTAAACCATTTATTGGGCTCAAACACCTTGATGAGGGCCATAAAATGAAGAAGCTGAATGGTCAACGCAGGACAACGGGAAAGACGCCACGGCTGCTCCTGCAGAAAGGTAACGGTGGCCGCATGCATCAAGTTCACGTAGGCGGTCACAAGGGAATTCGTGACACCGTACGGGCGGCCAAACTTCCTGACTGTGGTGACAAGAAAGTTGAGCCCCCTGCCGTCGTGAGCAAATGGGCTGCTCACCTCCTCAAACATACGTGTCAGCTCCGCATCACTGCGGATCGCAATTGTGGAGGCCATATCAGCCAAGGCGGCGCAGCGAGCCTCCACCTGTGGACGCCGCACAAACTGCAAGAGGAGATCCTCAAGGGATCGGTTGCACTCCAGCCGGTCGATGAGAGGGTAGTGGCGGGAGACGGTGTAGCCGCCCAAGGTGTCTTCGTCTGCAACTCCCTCTGTGGCATCCACGGGGGAAGGATCGTCATGAGACGAAGAAGCCAACATGGATCCTTCCTCCTTAAACCGCAGCTGCGTCTGCTCCCGCGCCTCCCCACCCTCACGCAAGGCTGCCTCCATGAGTGCCGCGCCTCGCTGCTGCTGTCGCTTTTTCGCCTCCTCAATGTCAGGAATGTTGCGCAGCCGCACAGGGCCGTAGCCCAAGTCCTCATCGTACTTGGGCAGCGGGAAGGGTGTGAAGTTCTCCGCAAGTGGCTTGGGCTGCATACTAGCCGGGAGCCGCTTGTACCGAACTGGGCCGCGCCCCGCCTCGCCTGCGGCTCCGTCAAACCGCAGATGAAGCAGCACACCGGGCCCCACAGCAAGGCGACGAAGCATCGACAGAATACAGTTTTTTCTTTTCTTTTCCTGCCGTTATCTTCCTTGTCGCGTCCCTCGCTCTGCCGTCGGGGCTTTGCCGCCGTGCAGGTCAGCGGCGCGGTAACGTTCCTCTCCGCCGTCGATAGCCACCACGTCAACCGCCACCGCGAGAAGCAGTGGCTGAGAGAGAAAGTGAGAGTTGCCGGATGCCTGAAAACCCCTCTTTGCACGAAGCAAAAGAAGAAGAAAAAAAAGTTCGCAAACAGGGAGAACAAAAAAAAAGGAATGAGAAGAAAGCAAAGCAAAAAAAAAAGTTCAGCTGCGCGTAGTTCAGTCAAAATAACGGGCAACGAGACGCAAGCAAGGTGGAAAGCCAGGGTATTTTACCGAGAACCTCCGACACCCTCGTCTCTCACGCAAAGACACGGGGGAAAAGAGAAAGAGAGCGAGAAAAGCAGAAATATATATATATATATATATATATATATATATGTGTATGTGTGTGTGTACATATGTACTTGTACAGCGAGGGGGGGAGGTGCATGTTAGCCACGTCTGCTAGAGGCGAAGATATAATACAGTGAGGAGAAACAATACCAGCACCGCCACGACGCGACCCAGTAAGTAAGAGGAAGAGTGCTCCTTCTTACCCCCAGTGACTTCTTGCACCTTTTTCGGCACAGTGACCTCAATCCGCGGCCGGGACACACCCCCTTGCGCTGAAGGCCCTTGCTGCTGCCGTGATGCGCCCGTGAGTTTGTTGTCGCGTGTCACCTTTCCATTCGTCCCTAATCGCTTCCTGTCCAACGCAGCTTCGTTGGGGTGGGTTCGACGGCCATACGATTCCTGCTTTTTTTCATCAAGCCACTGGAGTTCTTCCTTAACCATCCTCGCCAGGTTCATTTTGTAGGCCACGTGTTCCTCCAGCAAAAACTTGACATCGTCCACCGGTCCTGGATACAGCATGCGGGAGTGCAGCTGCTCCACGCTCGCATCACGCAGCTCGGTCACTCCCTCCAGCGTCCTCGTTGCCTTTTCTAGAGCAGCGGCAGGGGTTCTTTTAAACGGTTTCATGAGTTCATTCAACTCATCTGCCTTTTCAAGCATCTGCTCCGTCAAACTCGTGGCAATCAGCAGATTTTGTTCGTTATAATACGTGACAATGCGGGAGAGCCACTGCATCCGATCCTCCGCCACGTGCAAAAGAAAAATAAACACAACCATAAAGAAGATGAACAAGAGCAGTCCCGTGAAGCCACATCTACGTTTTGGGGGATTCACAACCCCTGGGAACGCGTTCCTTACAGCCCGTGTCACCGTTGCTCCCATATGGAGCGCTTGTAGAACAGGGCTGAACCAGCTTTCCTCGGTATCACCTTCCGCGGGAGACAATACGTTTTCTTCCTGCACGTCCCCCTGCTTATATTCCTTTATATCATCCCTTGAGCCAAACTCCTTGTTCTCCACGCTGGGTGAACGCACGTACAAAGTCATGGGACCCCCTTTTCTTCGGCCGTGGACGTTTGGGATGCCGCCACGTCCGCCCGCAGTCGAGGTTAGCGGCAGGGCGGCTGCGCTCAGACCGGTGTTAAACGGCGTCCCCTTTCCCCATGTTGAGTCGAGTGAGGCGAGGTGGGGAATGTCTCGCAACGCAGTGGAGGCAGCTGGCAGCGGGGCTGTAGGAGACGCAGAAACGCAGTTCTCGGACACGGGTGGAAGGGACTGCTCCACCCGCTCACTCATAGCGAGCCCCCGGTGCCACCGCAATATGTGTCCTCCTTGTATTTGCGTTTATGTGTAGGTGTGGCTTTCTGTGTATCTGTGTCTGTGGCAGACAGCTCCTCTCCCCCTTTACTTTGGCTTCTTCCGCCTCCTCGCTTGCAGAAAAGTTCCCAGTCGCCGAAGACGGCACAACACAGAAGAGAAACATAGTTTGAACACAAAGGCACAAAAAAAAAAAAACACGTACTCGCTTCACACCTCCACGGGTAAAATTATATACAGCAGCCTCCGTCGGAGGTAATTGTTTTATTTTTATTTTTATTTTGCAATCCCTTTCAAGCTGCACACACAGAGAGTGAGGGAGAGGGAGAGGGAGAGACACACCGATTGCGAGGGGGAAAGGAAGAGGGAAGAGGAGAGGGAGAAACGCAAAGTGGTACAGGCAATCGTAGTAATGCGCGTCAATCGCGGTTATTAGAAGTAGAGGGGAGGGTTCATTACATTCGGCTTGAGAAAGTAAAAAAAAAAAAGCTAAAAAAAAAGAGGGACATAAAAACAAAACACCCACACGATAGACTTTGTGTATGTACGCCAGAATAAATACATGAAGGGATGGAAAGTCAAAAAGTATGTGGAAGCAGAAACGAGTTCACAATCGATTTGCAAGAAGTCAAACGCGTCAGTTTCACGCAACATGCTTCTTTACCTGCTCACACAAGTTCATGAGCCGGACGTAGCTTGGCGTTGGCTTGTGAAGCGTTAAGGTGGCATATGGGTTAACAGGGCCTTCAGACGAAACTGCAGATAATAAGACTGTGCGCCTCCCATGAGGAGAAGACGATGACGAAAGCGACCCCTCCGTGGCCCCTGTTGACTCACGGGCCTGCATTTTGCTCCCCCCAGCCACGGAAAAGGAGTGTGGAACACTACGCCCTGGCAGCGGTGTGCCGGTGGACTTGGCAAGATCAAACGGCGAGGCGGCACGGCGGCGCACGGTATCCACCAGCTGTTTGCGAAACGCCTGCGCCTCCTCGACGCGCAACTCATCCGCAATCGCCTGCTGCTCCACCCGTTCCAACTTTGCCTGCGTATCCCGCTCAGTGTAGCGCCGACGCCACTCCGCTGCTTGCAACTGCTGCTCACGCAGCTCCTGCGCAAGCCGCTGTTCCGCCTCCCCCAGTTCCCGCAGTGCTGCTCGGGATTGATCCATCGCCTCCGTGTGCCGCTGCACCTCGCTGGCGTGTGCCTCCCTCTCGCCGTGCAGTTGTCTCTCCAAGTCCTTCACCTGGGCGATGTGTTGCCGCCGCAGCTCCCTAATCTCTCGCAGGTGCTGGTGCTGCTGCCGCTCAAGATCCAGCGTTAACTCGTGAACGGTTCTCGTAGTCTCCTCTTGTAGCGCCAAGAAACGCTCCCGATGCCGCTCCCGCTCCTCCTGGAGGAGCTGTTGGTGCTCCGTGAACGCATTCATCCGTGACGCCGTCATTTCTTCCAGTTGCCCCTGCAGCACTCGCAGCTCGTCCACCTTCGCCGTCAAGGCCTCCTCCAGTACCGCACTCATTCGGCCCTCCTGGAGGCAGCTGAGTACACCCAACCGCAACTCGGCGTTCATGGCGGCGACCTCCTTTTGACAGGCAACAGACATCTCCACAAATTCTTCCTGGCGGCGACGCTCAGCCGCCCCCCACTTTTCTTCGGCCACGGCAATAGTGTGGGCCATACGCTGCTTCAACGCATCCCCTTCCTCTCGGAGCGCTGCGAGGTCGTCTTGGCAGGCAGCCTCAAACGAGCGTAAAAGTCGCTGCAGCCGCTGCTCTGCCCCTTCCATCTGCTCCGGTGCGAGGTAGCGCGACGCGTCCACCGGCGCCAGGAAGGCGTGCGCCACGTCAAACGCCTCCTGCTTCTGCTGGTCGGCGCTAAAGAAGGCATCCTCGAGAAAAAGAATGTGGGTGTGGAAATGCCGCACCGCCCGGACGCACTGCGCCGTGAGCGGCATCGTCGCAGCCTCCAGCGTGGCATCTTCGCGCTGCTCAGACATCGCGTGGTTTGCGCTCACCGCGTTCCCGCCTCCAACCCCCTCCCCCGGCACTCCACCTCAGTGTTATTATGGTCGCCTCCACGAAAGGAAAGGAAACGAAATGAAAGGAAGAGGAGGAGGAGGAGGAGGAGGAAGACAAGAACAGCCTGGAAAAAATTGGCGTTGAGGCAGCTTCAGCACAGGCGCCGCTTTCCCTCACGGCGAAGCGCGACGGCCACGGGAAGAAACAAAGACCGTGACCACACTTGTGATGAAGCACGCAACGCCATCGCATGGCGACCCGTTCAGTGGAAACAAGAACAACAAAGAAGCGGTTTCTCGCCGCGCCACGCCACGCCACACCACACCACACCACAGTTGCTCTAAAACTCTCGTCAAGCTCATTCATCCTCCTCCTCCTCCAGTAACCGTCGGGCCCGTCGTTCTGCACGGCGGCTGGCATCAATAAGCGGTTTGTAGCCAATGTCAACCACCTCTCCCCGCTCGTTTCGCACATATGTGTACTTTGCCGCCTTGGCAGCAATGGCCTCATCGGAGTCACGGAGGTAAATAACGTACAGCAAATAACCGGCAAAGGAAAGGGCTGAGCCGAGCCACAGTCCCTGGAGCATTTTCCACCGCCACCCATACTGCCACGCTATAGGGAGGTAGGGACGCAACTGCCGGAACACGTAGCCGCCCGCACTCTTTGGAAGATCTGGAAGTCCCGGCCGCGTTGGTTGCCCCTTCCGCTTGCGCCGTTCCACCGTCGGCAGCGCCCGGCAGCCGAGCGTGCAACGCAGCATCAGCACGGTGGTTGTATGTGTAGGTGAGTGCGTGTGGTCCAGCTAGGCGGGCGGGTGACGCCGCGACTTCCTGTGTTAGGCAATAAAGTCCAAATAAGGACGACCCGCGGCAATCGCCTTGGACCGGACCACAATGTGAGACTAGAGACAGAGGAAGATGACACCGCTGAGCACAATACACACACAGAAAAAAAAAACGAATTGAAAAAATCCGTCTCCTTTTTCTACTGTACCACACCCGGAATTTATTGCCCCGCTGTAAAAAAAAAAGAAATGGAATAGAAATAGGGGGAGGAAACATAGGGGCTGTCAGGAACGGATTGCAAGAAGGGGAGGAGGCGATGAAGGCTGCGGGAGAGAAGGCGGCCGTGGCACTCCCCTCGCCACGAGCATCAAACCACCCACGCGTATCTCATTTGCCCCTTCCAGCAATTAGAGGGCCGTTACGTGAAACAGAAAAGGAGAAAGAACGAAGAAAAAAAGAAAAAGTCAGAATAAGTGTGATGTGGACCTTTTCTTGTTTGTCTCTCCGATTTGCTTCGTTTTTTGTTGCTGTTTTTTTTTTCCTCCCCCCTCCCTCCTTATCCCGCCTTTTTCGTCTCTCGGGACACGCGGGAGGCGAAATTCTATTCCCTTCCTCTTAGCCTGTGGCCTTCGCCGACTGCATGATCTGCCGGTGGAGCAACTCATAGCTCTCCCGGTCCTCCGCAGTGACGGAGGGCCTCACCTTCTGCAGACTGGCCTCAAAATCGTCGCCGCAGACGGACGGCAGCAGGGTTTTCGCGCAGTTCTCATCACTGAGGTTGCGCTCCAACAAGTCAAGCTCCTCGGTGGTGGAGGCATGGTACAGTTTCTTGAGGGCATGCAGCGATGCCTCCCGCACGAGAGCCGCGAGGTCCGCCCCGCTGAACCCCTGCAGTCGTGGGTCATGGGCAATGCGGTTGAGGTCCACCGAAGCCTCAATCGGGTAGCGGCGGGCGTGCGTCGCCAGGATGGAGGCACGCTGCTCGACGGAGGGAAGCGGCACGTAGAGGAGCTTATCCAGACGCCCTGGACGCAGCATGGCGGGATCAATCATGTCAGGTCGGTTTGTCGCCCCAATGACGTACACATCCTCCCGCCCCTCAACCCCGTCCATTTCGGTTAACAACTGATTCACGACACGCTCGCTACTTGGGTTGGCACGGTCTGACCCACGACGAGGCGCAAGCGCGTCCAATTCGTCAAAAAACAGCACACACGGAGCACTCGCACGTCCGCGCGCAAACACCATTCGCACACTCCGTTCACTTTCACCAACAAACTTGTTTAATAATTCGGGCCCCTTAATGGAGATAAAGTTGGCGCCTGACTGGTTTGCAATTGCCTTCGCCACAAGCGTCTTTCCGCAGCCGGGAGGGCCGTAGAGGAGCACCCCCACAGGGTGATCCAAACCAAAGCGCCTGTGCAGCCTGGGGGCGCGAATAGGTTGCAGAATACTCGTGAAAAGCTCCTCACGTACGTCTTCCAGGGCGCCAATGTCGTTCCAGGTAACATTGGGAATTGTGGTGAACCCCTCTCGCATCGCACTTGGCTGGACCCGCTTTGTGGCCTCCTTCATCTCCGCAAAGGTGACGGCAAACGACGTGAGCGCCTCCGTGTTGGGGTTTTCAAGCTCGCCCGCCTTCTCTAGCTCGGTATACTTGCGACGAATAGCTAAAATGCAGGCCTCCTTCACTAAAAGGTGAAGATCTGCCCCAACGTATCCAGGCGTCATATTCGCAAGCTCAAAAAAATCCACATCTGACGCGACATGCAGTTTCTGACAAATGATATTTAAAATACTCTGCCGCTCAGCTATGGTTGGAATGCCGAGAGAAATTTCACGGTCAAATCGACCTGCGCGCCGCAGGGCGGTGTCGATCGCCTCTGGGCGGTTTGTCGCCCCCATCACACAGACGACTTTATTCTCCTGCCGCCATGCCTGTGAGACTTGGTCCATGCAAGACAGCAGCTGCCCCACGATGCGGCCCTCCATGCCACGTTGCGTCTGGTCCCGGCGTCCTGCAATGGTGTCAATTTCATCAATGAAGACAATACTCGGTGCCGCGCTGATGGCGTCCATGAAGAGGTTGCGCAACTTCGCCTCGCTGTCGCCACTGATGCCGGACACAATTTCTGGTGCCGCCACAAAAAACAATGGCGTCTGTAGCGAACCGGCAATGGCATGCACCAGCTTGGTTTTGCCACAGCCAGGAGGGCCGTGGAGTAGCACACCACAGGGAGGATCGGCCCCAAGCCGGCTAAACAAATGAGGTGAGCGAATGGGCAGTTCAATCAACTCCCTGATTATCGGGATCTCCTTTGCGAGTCCACCCATTTCGTCAAGCGTGACTTTGGGGATGATTCCAAGCCGCTCAATCTCCTCGTCCCCATTTGTAGAAACGGGATGCATTCCGTCCTCTCCACGGGCCCGCTTCTGCGCCCGTGGAGTGCTTCTCTCGTCAGCATCATCCCTACGGCGCTGCTGTGCCTGCTGCTGGCCACGATAGTAGCGACCAGTCTGTCGCTGCTTCATGAGCCGTTTCATCTGACTCGACATTTGCCTCTTGGCCAACCTTTCAATGCAACAGAAACGAGGCAACCCGAGGCAGAAGAAACGAAGGAAAGAGACGTCAAACGACAAACATGTTCCGTGGGAGTCTTCCCGACACTGCTCACGTGCATGTCTGTGTGTGTGTTTATGTGTGTGTGAGAGAAAGTGAGAGACAGGGAGAGGGTGGGCGTGTGGGGAGGAGGAGCGAAGAATACGGGGAGGGAATCATGTCGTTGTTGTTGTTTTTTTTTTCGGCGCCGCGAATGACAGGCGAGGGCAACGTCGCAACGCCCAAAGGAGGCGACGCCGGTGAGTGTCGCAAGCAGCGAGGGCCCACGACGGCAAAGAGCGGCAAGGCCAGCCAACAGCACACGCACCCTCGTGCGTCAGTGGAGCCAAAAAAAAAATTTGAAGCCTCGCGTGGGAACACGAAAAGCACGTAACACATGCGTGTGCATTGCTTACTTATTTTTCGTGTGTGCGTGCGTGCGTGCGTGCGTGTGTGTTATGTTTGTTTTTTCCTCCTTTTCGCCTCCCCTCCCGCCCCAAACTTTTTTTGTTGTTGTTGGTTTTGTTTTGTTTTGCCCTTTGTTTTTTGGTTGTTTTTACTTCCCCCCCACTACAGTGCCGATCCGTGCCAGTTTGCGGGTCCGCCCCTCTGGCCTCTGCGCGGCACACTAACCAACTACTCCGTCAGTCGCTTTCGCAGCTCTGCCCTTTTGCCCTCGCTCGCCCTTTTCCTGGCGTCCCGCGGGCTGCCGCCTACCGCCACTCCACATCCGCGAGGCTCTTGCCCTCCTGCAGCAGGTCCCACAGCGGCGACATCTCACGCAGGCGCTCCACGTTGCGCACGCACTCCTCAATCGTCACGTCCACCTCCCGCTCCGTGGTGAAACGGCCGAGTCCAAAGCGAATGGAGGTATGAGCGTTTTCTGCCCCAACACCAAGCGCCCGGAGGACGTAGCTTGGCTCCAGCGAGGCACTTGTGCAGGCGCTCCCACTCGACACCGCCACATTCTTCATCCCCATCAACAGACTCTCACCCTCGACGCACTCGAAACTGATGTTAAGGTTGCCGTGGTATCGCGCCTCCAGGTCGCCATTGACGGTTATGTGCGGCAAACGACTTTGCAAGCCTTGCAGCAGACGCTTTGAAAGTCGTGAAATGTGTTCAGAGTCCCGCTTCATTTCCGCCTTGGCAATCGCACAGGCGGCACCCATCCCAACCACCTGCGCCGTCGCCACGGTGCCGCTTCGCACGCCACGCTCCTGTCCACCACCGCTGACAGGCGAACGCACACGCACACGGGGCCGACGACGCATGAAGAGGGCACCACACCCCTTTGGGCCGTAAATTTTGTGCGCGGAAAGAGACATGAGATCAATATTGTCACGCTCCACATCAATGGGTACTTTGCCCGCGGCTTGAGCGGCATCGGTATGGAAAAGGACTTTTTTCTCATGGCATAACTTTCCAATCGCGCGTATAGGCTGTATTACCCCAATCTCGTTGTGGACGTACATGCAGGAGACGAGGGCGGTGGTGGGACGAATAGCATTCTCAAGGGTTTGCAGATTAACAAGACCGTTCTTCTCCACCGGAAGATACGTCACCTCGAAGCCGTCCATCTCCAGGTAACGGCAGGAGTCCAAGACGCACTTGTGCTCCGTCTGAAGTGTGATTATGTGGTTCTTTTTGCCCTTGTTGTAGTACGCCACACCCTTGATGGCGATGTTATTCGACTCTGTGGCACCGCTGGTGAAGAACACACCCTTCGGACTGGCGCCAATGAGGTCGGCCACCTCCGCGCGTGCCTTTTCCACGGCAGCTTCCGCCGTCCACCCGTAACGGTGTGTCCGACTGTGCGGATTCCCGTACTGCTCCGTGAGGTACGGCAGCATCCTGTCAAGCACGCGTGGATCCAGCGGCGTGGTGGCCTGAAAGTCCAGGTAGAGTGGCCGTGCCTCACGGTTGGGCGCCGTCGCCGCCGCCGCGGCCCTGGCAGCCGCGCCCGCGGCAGCCGCCGTGTGCACCTTCTTCGCCGCCCCAAGAAGAACGCAGACCCCACGAAACATGTGCCGGCGGAACGAACAAGGAAGCCAAAATAAATATCCTCAACGCAGCAAAAGAAGGAAGAAAAAAAAAGGACGGGCAGTTGTGCACACAAGGGCCGTCATCAGCATGACGGCGACGACGACGACGCATTTATGCTATCACTCTCTCTCGCTCTCTCCCTCACGCACACACACAGAGAGAGAGAGGAACGGGAAAAGGTGCAGGCAGTGCAAGCATGCAAGCATCAAGACGTCAAATTGGTAAAAGTGGCAATAACTAAAAAAACAACACCACACACACCCTGGAAGGGGGCGAGAGCTGCGATGGTCACCAGGAAATCTCGTCCCCGTCGACAGTGTCATCCACCGGTAACAAGTCATGGAAGTTGTCCACAAAGCCCATCGCCGACACAATCTCCTGAACAGCAGCAGCAAATTTCCTTAAATGTTCCTTGCTGTTGAGAGAAAGCGCATTGCCGTCTCCGACGGAGCCGCGTCCAGCCTGAAGAAAAAGGGCATTTACTCTGGAGAACAACGCGGCGTCCTGGTGATCTCCAGCGGCACTAGCACCCTGCTGGGCCTCATGCGCCCTCCACAATGCAAGATCCGTAATTCTCAGAAACTGACGGTAGCTAAGTCGTGGCGGATAGGCGCGTAGCACCTCGTCCGCGGCTGGCATTTTTGAGGGAATTATCAAGTAATGATGCAACAACGGCATGAGGTCTTTGCGTTCTATCAAGCGAAGGGAAAGCAGCAAATCGTACGAACTGCTTTGCATCAAGTCATGCAGAACCTCTTTCTCGGAGGTCGTCAAAATCAGCAAGCGCTTGCCAAGGGAAGAGGTGCTCTCCGCGGCCCCAGGAACGTGGGAAGGTAATTGTGAGTAGGTGGCCTCTCTGAACTCCTGGAGGGCCAACTTCAAAACCTCGCCAGCCATCGGACCACTGCCTCGAAGGTAATGCTCTAAATTCTCAATTACGATGCTGCGATTCCCTTTGGCGTGAAGCGCACCACGCAGGGTGGCGAGCATCTCATCCAAAGGATTATCCTGCGAGTGACTGTGCAGCACCCTGCCGGTTAGATACGCTGCGGGGTCAAAGCGCCCAAGTCGCAGCAGCTCCAGGGCAAGTGTGGTTTTCCCCGTGCCGGGTGGACCGTAAATAATGATAACAGCGGCACTCGCGACACGGCTGCGGAGGAGACTTTGCAGCAACCGACGCGCCACCTTCTTGTTCCGACTGAAAGAACCATCGTAGTCGACAATTGGAAAATGTTTCTCACCATTCCTATTATTATAATAGCTATCACCCAGCTGGTCCCCTGGCGTGGTCTGCGCCTTGCCCTCCGATACGTCCTGCAGAGCAAGTTCAAAGTCCTCATTCGATACCTGGAATTGCTGTACCGCGTTGCGTGCGTCTTCGGCGGCCGCACCGCCGGGTTCCGCAAAGGTGTTCCCAAGAGCATCGCGGTACCGTACCAACGCGTAGCTCGAGGCTGCCCTGACCATCCCGGCAACATCGGCCCCCGAAAACCCCCCGGTGCGAGTGGCCAAAAGGTCCAGGTCCACATCGGGTGCGAGGTGGTGGCCCGCGCGCAGCTCACGTGTGTGGATAAATAGCATCTCCCTCCGCCCCTCAAGATCTGGCGGGGGGATCTCAATCACCACCTCAAACCGACCGGGACGAAGCAACGCACGGTCAATGACGTGCAGCTGATTGGTAAGGCCAACGACGAGAATGTTTTCCGCCCCCTCCAAGCCGTCCATGAGCGTCAGCAGTTCATTTGTCAGACCATCGTAGAGGGCCTTGGCGGAGCTCTCATCACTCGACCCCCCGCGTCGCCTAAACAGCGACTCAATCTCATCAATAATAATGATATGCAGTTGCCTCTTCGCCTCTCCTCCTCTCAGCCCCTCGTGTCTCTTCCCCGGCACATTATCATCACCCTCATCACCCTCATCACCCTCGTCAGCAACACTCATAAAGAGCTTTCGCAGTTGCTTTTCAGAATCCCCCACGTACTTTGAGAGAATGTCGGCTCCATGGACAATCGTCACCCTCGCACTGCCATCGAGTAAGGTGGCAATGGTGCGGGCAATGAGCGTCTTTCCATTACCCGGGGGACCGTGCAGTAGCACCCCACGTACGTGTGGAATTTTTAACGCTTCAACCACACCACGAAGAGAAGAGAGGCGGCTAAGAAAGACACGGCGGTAAAGTGTATGCAACTCGCCCCTTAATCCGCCAATGCCGAGTGCAAGCCACTGGCTATGGACATCCGACAAGCCATCCTTGCTTTGAAAAAGAAGTTCCAGGGGGTCTTCAGACAACGTGTGAAGATCGCTCTCGTCCATTCCGGCGTTGGAAGTATCCTCGGCAAGAGTTAACTGCACGGCACGGCTCAGAACCCCAATAGTAACGCGTTCCTGAGTTTGCGTGTCGGTTGCATTCATAACCTCTCTTGTCATCAGCTGCAGCTCTACATCCATCCAGATGGCGCCTTGTTCGAGCCGCCGGAGCCAGTGCGGTTTCTGTTGGAGCTTCGTGGAAGGGTGTGGAAGCGTGCATGACAAAAGCTGCTGCGGGAACATTGCCGACCGCCGCACGTTGACGCACTCTATACTAATCAAGTCACACTCCCCTTTTCCCTCCCCGCAGCGGAGTGGAATTGCGGAATGCTCTCGCAGCCAGATCCGCACGGCGGCGTCCAGCGGAAACCCCCGTCCACGGATTGTGAGCGTCACGGGACGCCTCGACGCTCTGTCGGCGAAACATCGGTACGTTTCCCGACTCCTACCAGGCCGCGACGGCCGCTCGCACCCGCTGATCGCAAGCAACTCCAGAGCTCTTGAGGTCCGATTCAGGCGACGCGCGTCCGAGAATGGCGATGTTACACGGGCGTCAGCAGGATTGACGCCCACGCACGCAAGGAGGAAAAGAAGAAGCGCACCGAGCACGTGGGTGCTTGGCCGCCACACCGCGTGTGCCGCGACGCCGCGCAACATGAGGGCGTATAAACCAAAGTTCTAGTTATTATTTGCACACATATATATATATATATAACAAAAC